GCCCAGCCGCCGGCGCCAGGCACTGCGTGTGCAGCCGACGTGTCCACGCTGGGGGCCCGCGGGACGCCTGCGGAGGGGGCGGCTCTGTAGCGGGGGCTGCTTCTGCCCCCCACTTTGGGGCAGGTCCGGGCTCCGGCCCTCCCGGGCGGGGGTCCGACCCAGCCCACCCCTGCACTGCAGTGTGCCCGAGCGAGTTACTAGGCTCCTCTGAGCTCTGAGTCCCGTTCCGCGAGGGTCAGGGCGCGTGGGTGCAAAGCCCCGCACTCCTCGGGGCAGCTGCTGGCCGCCGGGCCGGGCCTGGCCTCGGCTCACCTGTGCGCTGCTCCGCAGGAGGCCGAGATTGACAGCATCCACCAGCTGGTCGTTGGGGCGACTGAGAACATCAAGGAGGGCAACGAGGACATCAGAGAGGTGCGTGTTCTCCGGGGCCGGGCGCGGAGCCCTGCAGCCCACGGCTCTGAGCTGGTCACCACGGCGCTGGCCCGCTGACCAGCGTCTGCGCCCCCGCGGTTTGTGTTGGCGGGGCGGGACCTGCTCTCTAAACTGGGCGGCCCCACCACAGGCCGGAGCCCAGGGGCGGCTCACGCCGATGTCGCGGTTGTCTGCGGAATGGGGAGCGCGGGGCCCCCCCTGGGCCGCCACTGCCCTGCCCTGCCCGGTGGGGTGCCCCAGCCCAGCAGCTGGGCCGGGCTCGGGGCGATCTGCGCCGTGATGGCTCCCCACGGGGGCCGTGGCCTGGGTGGGCTTTAAACGCGCGGTGGCCTGACATCCGGTGGCCGCTCGGGGTCGGCAGGGTGGAGCGCGCACGGCACCCCGTGACCAGCCCTGTGCCCTGCCCCCAGGCCATCAAGAACAACGCCGGCTTCCGAGTGTGGGTCCTCTTCTTCCTGGTGATGTGCTCCTTCTCCCTGCTCTTCCTCGACTGGTACGACAGCTAGCCGGCGCCCGGGAGCGAAGCAGAGGACGCCGCGCCCGCGGCTGTCAGCCGGGTCAGCGGCTGGGGAAGGCGAGGCACGTGGTGCCCAGGCAGGCCCGGACGGGGCAGGGGCCCCGGCCCAGAGCGCTCATGTATCTCACGCCTGTGGCTCCCGTCCACTAGGGCGGGGGGCCAGGCCTGGCTGCTGCCCCAACACCCTCCTGCGCCTGGGCCCGTGCGCCGACCCCGGGACCGCTGCAGGGAGCACCCTCTGGTGCTCGCGGGCAGGCAGGCCCGGGCGGCTGTGGACCCCGGGTCTGTTGGCCGAGTGGATGTGTCAGGTGTGGACAGTCAATAAAGCAGGCTGGCCGCCCGCTGCCTCGTGGTGCCCGCTGGACGCGCACGGTCAGGAAGCCACAGCAGGCCGCCCGCCGCCCGTGCAGGGAGTGATGGCTCAGGGTGACACGCCGGGGGCAGCGAGTGGGGGCCGTGGGGCGCCTCCCTCCCTGCGCCTCAGAGCAGCCGTGTGGGCGCCAGGCCGCGGCCTTCGCCCCCCACCCAGGGGCCGGTGCCGCGGCCACACACACGCCCTTCCGGCGCTGGCCGGCCGGGGGAGGACAGTGGGGCTCGTGGGAGGCTCCGGAGAGGGCTGCAGCATTTTCCAGAAATCACCGTGAATGCATGAGTTATCTGAGGTCCAAACCCTTGGTATGTCCAGTGTAAATTTATTTTTGACAGCATCCAGTAACCCCAGCAGAGCAGCTAAATAAAGATCCCTCGACATGAGACGTGGCCAGAGCCCCCCAAGCAGTGCCGACGTGCACTGGCCCTGTGCCCGCGCGTGGTCTGCAGCAGGTTGTATTTGCAAAGCAGCATTAGCAAACAGAAGCAGGTGCACCAGAAAGGAGTGACCTCTAAATTACCAGGAACTGCATTAGTGACACGTCCCTCAACGTCCCTTTGTTACCTTCGAGTGACACATTCTGCGGCGCTCGCCCGTCGCGCTACGCCGATTTCTCGGCGGCTTCGGTCTCCTGCTCCGACAGCTTCTCCTCCGACAGGACCGAGGCCCACGGCGACACGGCGCGCGCCACGCTCTGCCCGGCCACGCTGTAGTGGCTGATGACCGTGTACAGCTTCTCCCGCGCGCTGGCGTCCTCCGCGTAGTAGCTCTCCAGCCCCTCGGGGATGCACTGGGTGTTCTGCGGGGCGAGAGGCCGCCTCAGCGGGCCGGCGCGGGCCGGCCCCGACAGCACCCGCAGGCTCCGGGCCCGCCCCACGGCGCGGAGCCGGGCACTTGGAAACCCCCGCAAGCCGAAGCGGCGTTCGGCCCGTTTCGGAGCCGCGGTGACCTCCAGCTCTGAGCATCCGGTCACTTCCCAGGATAACCTGCTGCGGGTACTGGCGAGACAGCCGGGCGCAGGCGCCCCAGGCTGCTGTGCGCCCCGTGCTGACGCGAGTCTCCGGCCTGGCCCTGTGGAGGCCCGGCGGGTGCCCTGCCTGCTGTGCGGCAGGGGAGGAAGGCCCCTGGGAGCTGGGCAGGGCAGCGGGCAGGCTGCACACCCAGCCACCCCCAGAGCCTACAGGACTGTGACCTTGGGGTGCGGTGCAGCTGGGGGGTCATTGCTGTCTGGCCCTGGAGGCGGTGGGGAGGGGCCGCCCATGCGGGTGTCCTGCGCCCACAAGCCCCGCTTAGCTGAGGCGTGGACACCTCCACCGTGGAGGGGCCTCGCCATCTGGCAGGGCTTAAACCCCCACTTTGTGCCCACCCCCGGTCTGGCTGAGTATATGGTGCTGCGGGGGCCTGTTTGAGCAGCCCCCAGGCGGTCCTGACGCTCATGGCTGGCCTGGGCACTCAGCCCATGGGGCCCAGCCCAGCTACGGGGAGCCAGGTGGGTCCTGGCTGCACCGGGAGACGCCGGGTCCTCACTTTGTTGCACCCCGACAGGGCGGCGCTCGAGGCTCTGGTGGGCTCAGGCCCACCCACGCCCTCCACGACCCTCTCCGGGCTGCAGGCCGGCACCTGAGCGCGTCGGCCCCAGGTCACACTCTCACCAGGCGCAGCCCCACGAACCCGGGCTGGGGCCTCGCTGTCCCCTGGAAGCTGCCGAAAGCCGGGAAGGCAGCTGCCAGCGGCCCAGGCCAGGCGACCCGAGCCCACGCGCCCCAGCCACGCACAGGCTTCAGGGAGCCCGTGTCCCCAGAGACCTTCGGGGCGTTCCCCCGCGCGGCACGGTGCCGCTGCAGCCAGCCCCACCGCCTGCCCCGGGCCAGAGCCGGGCCAGATGCCCACCAGTGGGGAGGCTCCGTGGGGGCCGGGGGCCCCGGGGTGCGCTTTACCTTGAGGACGAAGCCGTCGGGGCAGGCCCGGTCATACTTGTACACCTTGTAGACCACCAGGAAGACCACGCAGGTGAGGAAGGCCAGGGCGAAGAGGACCAGCACGGACACCTGCAGCAGAGGGCGCGTGTCCAGTCTCGGGGGCAGGGCACGAGGGCGCCCACCGGGCTGGCGGAGCCCCGGCGGCGTGGGCACACTGGGGACACAGCCATGGGCGCCTGGGGGCGCTGCCAGCCTTGGCCCCGGGCAGGGGACGTCCCGGGCGCCCTCCACATCTGCAGCCCCAGGGAGCGGCCCCGGGGCTGACCGGTCCAAGCTGAGGCCACAGTCTGCTGGGGCGGGGTGGGGGTCAAGACGCCCCGCCCTGCCAGCGGCCTCACCTACCCGGGGGGCACCAAGAGGCGCCCACAGTGGCTGCGACCCCCTGCCCCTGCCCCACATCCCCCTCCCCAGGGCGGCCCCGAGGCCCTTCCTGGGCGTCACCCCCTGGCCCTCTCCTGGGCCGCAGGGCGGGCACCTGAGGACCAGACGCGGTGGTCTGGTCAGGTAGGAGCGCCTCGGGGCTTTCTGCCCAGAGCAGGAGCCCCAGCCCCTGGCCACTGCCCCCCGCCTGCCTGGACAGCTGGCGCCGCCGTACCCCTCGCATTTTACCTTGGGTGTCTGGGTCTGCCACCCTGTTACAAGACGCCGCAGAACACGCCAAAGCAAGTCAGCGCCACAGGAGCCAGGACGGCAGCTCCCCGGCCATCGCCTTTGGACCCCCAAAACTGCAGAAAGTGGGTGTCAGGGAGCAGGCTGACACAGAAAAGGCTGATCGTGACCCCAGGGTGCAGGCTGGAGCGCACGCGGGTGCCCGCTGCAGCCCCACGGGGGGGAAAGGGGGGTCCTCGCCCCACAGGGGGGTCTCACCCCACAGGCAGAAGAGGCACCTGCGCCGGAGGGCGGGTGGCCCCCACTGTTGAGTCAACTCCGGAGCCGTCGGCCACGAAGCCACATGCAGCAGCCGAGCTCCAGGCAAGCAATGGGGGCGTTGACGGAAACAGTCGGGTCGCTTCCCCACGAGGGGAAAGTGGCCAGGAGGGGACAGGCCAGTACCGGGCCAGGCGCGGCTGCCCACAGGCAGCTCCGGTGCGGACGGCACAGAGCGGCGCGGCGGACACCGGGCGGCAGC